GTTATGGCGGCCCCAGCTGCCTAATACACGCTTGCCACATGCACTGTGGGCTCCTCCAGCAGACATCTAGAGAACTAACATTCTTTCCTACTTTAAAATAAAGACGCATTTTAAAAGACTGAACTAGAAAAAGATGAGGAGAAAAATAATACTTTCGAGAACCTGCTATTTGACTGGCATGATGTACAGGACACTGGTTGTTGGTGCTTGTTCAATATCCATCCCCCTTCTAATGAGGGTCCCTCGAACCTCCTCCAAGAAACACTCCTGCCCTCACTCACAGTGTGGGGGCTGGGGGTGGTCACGTCTGCCCCCACCGTGGCTCCAGGAATGGCACATGGTACCGTAATGTGAAAGTGCATTAGGATGTTCCTTATCAGGATTTCTCAGCTTTGGCACTATTAACACTTGGGGCCGGAACATTTTTTTGTTGTGGGAGGCTGTCCTGTGCATTGTAGGATGTTTAAACACATCCTTCGCCTCTACTAGATACCAGTAGTACCCTTTGTTGGGACAACCAGAAATGTCTCCAGATATTGTCAAATGTCCCCTGATGGGGCAAAACTGGCCCTGGCTGAGAAGCCCTGAGGGCATGCAACCTCACTCAAGAAAATGAGATCGAGGCCTGGGACTTGAACTAGAACCAATGGAAGAAGAAGTTCACGCTGGGGATGCTGAGCAAGAATAATGTCATCGTGAGCTGCTGGGGCCATCTTGCTCCCACATGGGGAGATGCCCTGAGCATGACGCCAACACAGAGCAAGGCAGAGCCGAGAGACGGAGAAGACAGATTGCATTACAATATCATACAAGCTATTGGATTCAACTGAGTTATATTTTAGTTATGTGAGCCAATTAATTCCCTTTTGGGCCTAAGCCAGTTTGATTTGGATTCCCGTCACAGGCATTCAAAGAGCCTTCCAAGTGACAGGAGACATTCTGTAAATATTCCCTCATTCAACCCCGTAGCTGCTTCTCAGGTGGGTTTGCTTATCTGAGCTTTACGGATTCAAAAATGAAGGCCCGTGCCAGCTGCCTCTTCCTGGATCTCTACTTCCCATCCACAGCGCTTCCCGCAGTCATAATGACTCGCGGGATGAATCGTTCAGGGCCTGCCCGCCTGCCAGAGCATCAGCCCTGGGCAGCAGGCGTTGCGCTCTTGTTTGTCACTGGCGGCCAAGCGCCAAAAACAGCGCCTGGCTCCGGGGAGGTGCTTGAAAATGTTTGCTGAATGGCTGGACATGGTTACATGGTTTGGCCTAGAATCTGACCCAGGATCTCATTTCAAAGCCCATGTGAGTGTCCCTCCCTGTAGTTTCTTACATAATTTCTCTGCTTTGCCCCAAAGGGAAGAACTAGATCCAATGGGAGGTGTAAAGAGGCCAATTTCAGTGAAATTTAAATGACAAATTCATAATTGGCTCTGCCAAGCAATGGAATGAGCCAGCTCAGGAAGAGCTAGTGATGACGGTGATGGGGATGACGACGATGATGCTCGTGAACTGAAGTTGGGTGCTGACTCTGAGTCAGTCTCTGAGATGAGCACTTTATATTCACCATCTCAGTTAATCTTCATGACAACCCTCAGACATGGCCACTACTTTACCCGCATTTTACTGTGAACTAGGTGAAGCTCAGAGAGCTCGTGTAACTCACACATGGCCCCATGAATGGCGAGCATCAGAATCCAGAGTCAAAGTTGGGCCTGCAGCCAGCGTCCATGCACCAACATAGTCACCGTCCTGTCTCATGAGGGTTCTGTCACTAGAGGCATGTAAGCAGATGATAGGTGACCCCAAACGAGGGGTGGGGATTCAACCAGAATTCTCTATGGCCAGAATTCTGCAAGCCAGAGACTCTAGGAGACGAAGAACCTACATCCCTGAGACCAGATAATGGGGGTGGCTCATCTCCAGAGAAGGTTGCTGGCCCCTTCTGCTCCCCTGTCCTCACCCCTCTCCCAGATCACAGAGGAGTCCAACATGTCCCAGCCAGGATCAGCCCCACAGCTAGATGTGCCAGTGACCAGGCCCATCTGACTCCGAGGACTGTCTGCTCTACCCAAACTTTCCTTCCAGTCACACGTTTGAGCCCCTTGCATTGGACCCCAGCCCAGCCTCACACATTGAGCCCAGCCTCCATTTCCCCCTGAAAAGCCGCCATGGGAGATGAACAACGAGACCCCAGGAAGCAATTGCCATCACACCATGCGATGGGAAGAGCGCAGGCTTGTGGTCAAACAGTCCTGGGTCTGAAATTCAGGTCAACTGCATTCTTTGCAGCCTTGGGCAAGTTGCTGGGCCTCTCAAGGCCTCAGATTCATCATTTGTTAAACAGGGACAATGATACCAACGAGAGTTGCAACTAGTAAATGATACATCATATGTCAAGCAGGGTATGTAGCCCAAGGTGAATAAACGGTAGCCTTCTTTAATTTTTGCTCCTTTTCCTCCCAACAGAGTTACTACTATTCAAGCTGAGACTTCACCCCAATTCAACTTTTACTCCAATAATGATGAAAAAAGGAATTGGCCACTGCTTGGGGCATAAGCACCACACCTTTTGGTCTAATCTCTCTCGTCCTAGGACTACTCGAAAATTCAGTATGTTTCAATGCATTTTCTCTTTTGCTTTCCTTTTGCTATTTTTTTTTCCAAAGATTTTATTTTTTTTGCCTTTTTCTCCCCAAAGCCCCCCGGTACATAGTTGTATATTCTTCATTGTGGGTCCTTCTAGTTGTGGCATGTGGGACGCTGCCTCAGCGTGGTTTGATGAGCAGTGCCATGTCCGCGCCCAGGATTCGAACCAATGAAACACTGGGCCGCCTGCAGCGGAGCACGCGAACTTAACCACTCGGCCACAGGGCCAGCCCCTTTCATTTTGCTTTTTTGCTGCCATGTTGTTGAGGGTAGTAAAGCCACTTTTATTGCCTTCATTTCACACGTGAGAAAAGCGCTGGCTGAGAGGTGAGGTGACAAAGTCCCAAGGCCCAAAGCGCTTGCTGGGCCATGGCATCCTGACCCCGATTCCAGCGCGCCTCTCCCCCTACCACGTGCTGGGGTTCAGAGCCTTCTGATAGGGCAGCCTTGGGTACAGGTGCCATGGCCAATGTAAGGCAGGTACACCTCACAGGCCACAGAACCTAAGGCCAGGGTGACTCCCTCTAACTGCAGAGCCCGGATTGGGCCAGAGGGTGAGCAACAATGCCTCAGAGACCCTGGCCAGTGGTGCCAAGCTGGGGCAGCCAGATACTTCCTGTTGTCAAACGGTCATGGCTTTTACAGCTCCGCTGCCAGCAGGGCCCTGACTAGATCTAACTAACTAGTGGAAAGATCATGGGGCTTCGGCTGACACGTGTTGGTTCCAACCCGAGCTCAGGCACCGTGTGAGCTGGCTGAGTTTGGCAGATGCCCTAACCTCTCTCAACTCCCATTCTCCATCTGTAGACCCCACAGAGTAGAGAGAATTAAACAAGAGAGTGTCTGTGAGTGCCTGGAGCATGGGGGACCTTAGAAAAGGGCAGCTTTCACAGCATTATGCAATAGATGTGCTTCCCTGGTACTGAGTTCCCATTAGGCGCCGCCCTGGAAGTGGCCTTGGGGATAAGGAAAATATCACCACCTCGCCTACCTCACTGGGGTACCACAGACCCTCGTGAATACCACATGGATGTTTTCAGGATGGCTTCCTGCCCCAGCCTTCAGAAAGCCTGCTCTGAAACACCATCAGTTCTAATTTGCTCCTTGTTTGGGATGTGAGGCCAGCTGTAAAGAAATCGGTAGCACCTTTCTTAACAGTGTGTCTGTAGCCCCAAGGTCTGGGGGGATTTCCTAGGGTCTGTTGAATCTCCTGTCCAATTCAAGTCAGTGCAATATGGAGATCTGTTGAACACCCACTATGTATGGAAGTCAAGGTGATGAGGAGGATGGTAAATAATATGGTAAATAATAATAGCTTTTATTTATTGAGCTAGTGCTAATGGGCCATACTCCTTCCTTCATTTTCTCTAGCCTTTAGAACGTTCCTGGCAAGGTAGGAAGAATTGTCTCCATTTTACAGATGAGGAAACTGAAGTTCAAGTACATTAAGTGACTTGGCCAAGGGCACACAGCTAGGAGGGAAAGACTCATGATTCAAGTTCAGACATGAATGCCACAGAGACTCTGCTTTTTCCACTAAAACCTCAGTATCTCCCAGAGGTTATGAGCAAGGATATAAAGAAAACATTTGGGGGAACTTATTGATAAATCAATCTGATCTGAGATGAGTCTATGCCAAAAATAAGCAAGGAATGAACCTCACGAGGTAAAGTGGATCTGATTGGAGAGAAAACAAATGGGAAATTTCAACACAAAGTTTTTGATACTCACTGCAGCCATATTTGTAATGTAAGAGACTGGAAATAACCTAAATGTCTATCAAAAGGGAAATGGTTAAATAAATTATCATCCAGTCATATAATGGAAGACTGTCGAAGCACCTGATTTTTTAAAGAGCAGAGCCCTATGTATTTACATGGAACAATCTCTAAGACACGGTGCTGACTGCTCCACTTGCCCCTACACTCAGATCCACCTCCTCCCTCCCTCCCCTGCTCCATGCCCAGGGACCTGGACCTCCTGGACTGCTTCAGTAAGGCTCCTGGTTTTTCTGGCTTCCACGTGGGTTTGACCAATGAGAGGAGCCAGCAGCAGATTGGGAGTGGGAAGAGAGAGAAGCTAGGGTGTTTCCTCCATGTTCCTTGCCTGTTTGGAATATAGGGTTCCGACGTAGCCCTTTCCCTCTGCAACCTCAGCTCCTGCTCATCAGCCCACCGTCCACGGCTTCACTTTGCCTTGACCTCTAGTGCCCCATTTCCTCCCCTTGCCCTTCTGGCATTAAAATGTCTCCAGTTGAACCATCTGGATGGAATTCTGTTGCCTGCTGGGATCCTGACTATGATACAGACATATTATGAACATTATGGAGGAGGTCCCCACACAGAGTTGGCCCCCACTGACCTTCCAAGAACTCTTCCAATCAGCTTCACTATTAACGTCCCCACGAGTCCACCAATGGCGAATATGGACACGGTCACAGACCAGAGCAGAGTCAGAGTGTCCGGGTCTGTCGGATGGCCATGCCTTCTCTCCCACGACTCATTGTAAAAGGCCTTGATGTACTGAAAACAAACAACAAACCATGTTAGTCCTTCTGTTCCATTCTGCGGCGTGAAGCCAGCCAGCAGAGAAACAAAATAGTTTTTATAGAGCACTTTCTTCATGCCAGGCACTTCGCTAAGTTCCATCTGAGCTTTATGTCATTGAACGCTTCTAACAAATTTTGTGGATGGGGGCCATTTTTACCTCATTTTGCAGTTAGGGAAACTGAAGCTCTGAGAGACAAAGTGACTTGCTCAGTGAAGTGGCAAAACTGGGAGACTGTTTAAGCACTTGATTTTCTAAAAAGCAGAGCCATATGTATTTATGTGGAACAAACTCAGATCCAACTCCGAACATGGGATAACCATTATAGCCAGTCTTCTCCAACTTTGGTGCACAGCAGTCACCTAGGAAATGTGTTAAAAATGCACACACCAAACGTAAGAGAAAATATTTGCCATCTTGGGTAGACAAAGATACAATACACACACACAAAAACCCACTAACCATAAAAGAATAATAAAGAAACACGCACAAAAAGAATAAGAACAACATTTGGATTTCATCAAAATTAAAGTGTTCTGCTCTTCAGAAGACACCATCAAAAAATGAAAAGACAAGCCACAGACTGCACTAACATATTTGCAACACATATAACTACAAAGGACTTGTACGCACAATATATAAAGAACTCCTCAATAAGAAGAAGATAAACAACCCAATTAAAAATGAACGAAAGACTTGAACAGACTCCAAAGAAAATTCACATGATCAGTAAGCTAATGACATGATGTTCAACATCGTTAGTCAACAGGGAAACACAAATTAAAACCACAATGAGATACCCACTTCACACTCGCCAGATCTCCACTGCTGTCAATTCTGATTCAGGGGGTTTGAGATGGGGACAAGGCGATTCTGATGTGCACCAAAGACTGAGGTCATGGCACTAAGCTCCCCAAGAGAATTCCATCCCCAAGATGCTCAGTTATCCACCGCCCCCAATATGGGCCCACAGATCTCTCCATAGCCAGCATAGGACGTTGCAGAAGAATCATAAGTTCAGGTCGCACAGATTTGGGCTTGAATCTCAGCATCGTGATTTGCTAATGATTTAAGCCAGCTGAACCTTGGCTTCCTCATCTGCAAAATGGGAATGATGACACTGACACTGCATGATGTTGTGAGAGTCAAACAGGAGCTTGGAGCGGTGCCCAGCACTTGGGTAGAGCTCACACAATCCCCAGGAGGCTAAAATTAACACATCTGCTAAGGTTAAGTAGTGATCGATCGGCAGGTTAATGGGGGGAGTTGAATTTGTCCAGCCATCTTGGAAAACAGTTTGGCATCATCTAGTAAAGTTGACGATGTCCCTAACCTAGGACCCAGAAACTTCCATTTCTAAAAAATTCCTCTAAAAAACTCTTTCCCATCTGCACTAGGATATATCTACCCAAATGTCCGTGGCAGCATTGCTCATTACAGCCCCAAACGGGAAACAACTCAGATGCCCACTGAGAGTAGAGGGAAAAGCACGTGCCAAGACTACACCGCAGAAGAAAGCTCGGCATGTCCACAGAAGTGAAGGAGGCCAGTGGCGTGGGACGGGACCAGTAAGAGAAAGAACGGGCCGCATGGAGTTGGAAGAGCAGGAAAGGGCGGGTCACATGGGGCCTGAGAGGTCATGGTAACGAGTTTGCTTGTTATTCGGATTTTTCAGATGCAGTAGGAAACCACTGGAGAGATTTAAGCAGAGGGGGGACATGTGTGGTTCGCCTTTTCACAAGACCCCTCTGGCTTCCGCGTGGCGAGGGCATTAGAGGGCAGCTGGAGAGCAGGCTGGCACCCTGCTGAGAGCCACTCCAGCAGTCCAAGATCACGGTGGCCTGGACCAAGCAGTGGAGACGAGCGGAGGAGATGGATTTGAGATGTTCTGAGAGTAGACGGGACAGGACTAACTGGGTCACTGGCTCCAGGTTTGGGGAGCGGGCGTGTTGGGGATGGCAAAAGAGGAACACAGCAGACGGCCAGGTTTCTGGCTTAAGCAAACAGGCTGATGGAGGAGATGAGGAAAGGAGGGTAGCACCCTGTCTCTGCGAGGTATTTACCCTCTTCCCATTTTCTCTCTCCTTCTGGCTCCATAACTACCTTGCTCATAGTAAGGAGTGAGGCCAGAATATATTATCGACAACTAGCACTATTCCTAATGATGATGAAGTTTCCATGCCTTAATATACAAGACGTTCTGATCTGTCATCATCCACTGATTCACTCAACAAACATGTGCTGAGTACTGGGACCTGAGCTGGACACAGACATAAACCAGACACGGCTCGGGATCCCGAAGATCGTCTAGTCCACTGGAGCTGATAATGTGTTGTACTGTTTAAGGATGCTTTTAGCTGCAAGCAACAGGATATCCCAACTCAAAACAGCTATGCAACAAGGACACTTATTAGCTTATATAGATACAAACTCACAGGAGGGGTGAGCTTCAGGACTGTTCATCTGGTGTCTCAGTAGCATGGTAAAGAATCCAGGTGCTTCCTGTTGTTTCACTCTGCTTTCCACAGTTTTGCCCTCATCCTAAGGCAGCATCCACTCATACCTGTAGGATGGCTCCTACTGGCAGTTTTGGCCACATGCTTTTCCACTCATGTAAGACTGGGAGAGTAGTCCTGGCTCTTAGAGATCTCATGATGTCAAGAAGAACTTTCCCAGAAGCCTCTAGAAAACCTCTCTTTATGTCCTATTGGCCATGGTTGGGCATAGGCACCTTAAGTAATTCAATCATTGGAGAGTGCGATAGTACCGTCACCTGGGCCTCTGGCCCTGAACTCCGTTTCTTATCTTCTCCTCCTTACCTTAGTAAACAGCACCACCATTCTCCAGTTTCTCAGCCAAAACCCATGAATTCATCATTAACTCCTGCCGTCGATCCATGCCCCTCAATTAAGCCATTCTGACTCATCCCTACCCTTTATAGGTTGAATTGTGTCCCCCAAAATTCATATGTTAAAGTCCTAACCCCCACTACCTCAGAATGTGACCTTATTTGGAGATAGGGTCTTTCCAGAGGTAATCAAGTTAAAATGAGGTCATTAGGATGGAAAATCCTTAATCCTTAATCCAATACGGCTGCCGTCCTTATAAAAAGGGGAAATTTGGACACAGAGACATGCATAGAGGGAACATGATGTGAAGAGACACAGGCAGAGAAGGCAACCGTCTACAAGCCAGGGAGAGGAGCCTGGAGGAGATCCCCCCTCACAGCCGTCAGAGGGAACCAACCCTGCCGACACCGTGATCTTGGACTTCTGGCCTCCAGAACTGTGAGAGAAGAAATTCCTATTGTTCAAGCCACCAACTCTGTGGTACTTTCTTGTGGCATCCTTAGCAAATTAATACTCTGCCCTACCTCCAAAATACTTCTCACCACGTCCACCTGTCAACCCCGTCCAGGCCACCCTCCCCTCTCACTGGGACTCCGTAACAGCCGACTGTCAGACTCACCAAGGTGCTCCGTGCAGCCCCTCTGAGTGGGTACCGTGCTGTCAGTGGCTGCACGTTAAGCTAACATTGACCACTCAGTTTTCGTGTACTCCAGTGGCCATCTGTCATCATTTTGGCTACTCAGCATCAATCCCCCTTCCCATTTGGGAGAGCTTCTTGTCTCATGAGCCCCGTGGGAAACAGAGCCCACTCATCACTACAGAGGTTGACAATGCCAGACACCTGCTCTCCCAGCATCCTCTGCAACTAGGGACTGGACGTGTGACTAAGGCTCAACCAATCAGAGCCTGGACTTTGTATGACTGTGTGAGGCTAAGAAATGGGGCTGGAGCTCCGGCAGGATTGGGTTTGGGGGCAGCGGCTGTGGGAGCTGCGGCGTCCTACGCCAACAGTGCAGTAGACAGCAGTGGTGACTGCAGGGGACCCTCCAGGACCTGCTCTGGGTGTGCTGTGGGGTGTGCAGAGCTTCTGAGCCTGGCTCGCCAGCCTGCCCAGCAACCCTGCCAGCCGCTCACTATTTCTTCAACAATTTCTTTTTCAGCTTCAATCAGACAAAATTGTTGTTATTGTTTACAACTACTGAAACGCTACCAAAACATATAAATTATCTCATTTTATCCTCACGACAACCCTCGTGGGAGACACCCTCATTACAGATGAGGGAACCGAGAGTTACATAACTTGCCCACCGACACGTGGCTAATCTGTGGTGGAGGGAGATTGCGCAGTGTCTGCCTGACTTCAGAGCCCATCGCAACAACCCGTTAATGGACTCCTCATCTCACGCTGATGGCACGAAAGTTAAGCAGCTAAGTCCAATAGGACATTTATTGACTTAGAGGTCAATACCAATTAGGCCCTTGTTATGGGCTAGACACTCTGTCAGGCCCTGCAAGTGCCACAGCGACAAGCCTCAGGAGCACAGAGTGTAGGAGCAGAAACAGTGAGACAGTTGCTGAGCCAAAGGGATGGCGGGGCCACAGGAAGGCACGGGTGCAGGATGCCCGAGGGCTAGAGCAAGTATTTACAGCACTGAGACCCTTCTGAGAAGACGGCAGAAGGAATGCGTATCCAGAACTTCAAAGGCACCCCTCCTGCCACCCAATAATCAGGAGACCCCCGGGCAGAAAGGGTCATCCTTGGATGTGACCGTGGCCCCCACTGCAGTCCTGCACTGATTCAGGCAACGGTGGCCTTGCCAAGACCCACTCCAGACAGCCTCTCATCACCATGCTTGCAGCCACGACCAGTTTCCAGGAACTAAAGTATAGAAACCAAAAGGCTGCTGTTTGGGGACATTTTCTCTTTTCTCTTCTAGCCATTCAGGAGCCCGGTGAGAGACGGGGTGCCCTCCTATCGTGCATGCTAGGCATTTCTTTGGGAGCCTCTGCAGAGATTCCTTATTTCGATTTTGGGAAGCTGGAGGAGGGAAGCCTGGCAGAGAGGGGAGCAGGCTGAGACTCGCAGCATGGCCCGTGCCCCTGCAGAAACACGCTCCTCACACGGC